TCAAATACTATTTGCACTTTCGAGGAAATAATGCACGTCGGTTCGGACTTGGCGGCTTCAACTTCTAAACCAGCCACTAAGACTTATGGATGCATGAGAAAAAGTTGGTGGTAAAAAGACGGGGTAGATACCTACTGGGTATGTAGTCCTTGAGTGCCTACGGTATTTCGTTGATATGACAATTAAACTAAGATAGGGAAGTTTCCGGGCTCTCGCCATTGCAACACTATATGCCCTGCAGATGGTTCAGAGAAATGTCTCCAATCAGACGGCTCTTCAACTTTCATTACCTATCTCATGTATTACCCCTTTGGATGCACCACATCCTGTGGTCATCAGACAACAGCTGTACCACAAGACACTATTCGACTTCGGCCACTCCTTGGCCAACCATCTCGCGCAATTAGTATCCACCGGATGGCGGGAGATGAACTTGGCTTCCTTTTATTAGTTATGTCAGATACCTGTCCAAGGGTGATCAGCATGGCATGCTGGACTTGAATATGTCAACAATGGCGTAAACATGTCACATTTCCACCCCAGCTATTTAGGAAAACGGATCCTATGTGACTTGTTGTCTGCTGTTGTGGTTTGCTTATGCTTTCAATGCAGACTCGCAGGTAAGTTTCGTTTCTTTTTCTTAGCGGTTACCCGCCCATATATGGTTTTGACACATATAACAATACACATAAAAGAAGATGAATTTTACTACCTAATAACTCCATCAACACGGTCCGCTACTTGTAGTGAAAAGGTATGGTTCTAGTGAAAAAGCTGTGACTTTGCCTCCTACTTGAACTGCAAGGCGCTTCGGTCGGCGGAAGACTAGAAGATGAGCAACGGTCCAACAAGGGTAGGATCTAGAAGCCCACTGTGACAAAGGAACCTGTCTTGCACCTGAAAAAATTACATGGGCCACGGCCACTACGTGAAATGTACCTTTCAGTCAGCAACGTCCAAGTCGTCATGCTGAGGTGGTGGGCTATCAACAGCTACTTAAAACAGTTAGCCAAGTTTACCAACAACGCCTTCATATTGCGGGCCAAGTACCTTTGCGCTCATCGCCGTTCGCGCCATTCTCACGACGATCGCGGTCATCACGGTCATCACGATCGCGATCACTATAACCCGTACGTGTCAGTTGGTGCCCCAACATGTTTTGCTGACGAGACGTTGAAGCTACATACCGAGTGTCGGGACTGCGAGAGCGGTCTCGGGTGTCACGACGATCACGATCATAATCCCGATCGCGGTCACGGTCACGGCGATCATCCTTTCTGGGAGAGTAGTCACGGGTACTACGACGCGGTGAGGGAGAACGGCCACGACGAGGAGATCGAGCCCCACGGGCCCCGTCACGCCTATCCCGATCACGGCCAGAGTCAAAACGCCAAGAAGCCGAGGGGGGTGTACGCGCCCACTAGGATGGACGTTAGATAATTGATGTCAATGCCAGGACTAGGGATGCGTACCTCAATCTTCAAGATGTCGTCCCGACCGATGCGCTTGTTATGCATCTCATGGTAGGCATCATCCGCATCACGGCGATCCTCATACTCCACAAAAGCAAACCTTTGGTTCAAATTAGCGATACGCCAGCTCCGTGATTGAGTTATTCGAGACTTACAACCGGCTACTAGCACTTCGAGGGGCCGGGATGTCGCAGCGGACAAGACGACCATAGCTATAGGTGATAAAGTCAGCAATCTCACAAAATATGGTACTTTCCCAATAGGCCGCATCGAGTGCGTAGAAGCTTTGTTGTCCTGCCACGACAGACAGGCGACTCGGCGCGCGCGATGCAACTGGTGATCTTCTCGACCGCTCGATCGTGGGAGAGACATGACTGAAATGGGTGGTGGGCGTGCGTGGGAGGTGGGAGCGTGGACAAGGAGACGGCTCGAGGACTCGACGAAGTCAAGAACGACGACGACGGAAGACGGGGAGGACCTGGGACAGGTGGACGAGGAGGCACGGGTGGAGATATGGTGACATCGGACACCGTTTCCGCAGGCTGGGCGGTCGATCGATCTCACCGTGCGCGAGGACGAGGACGAGGGCGACGAGGATAGCTGACATACCGTTCGAATTCGTAGGCGAGGTCGCGAGCACGCGTGCCCTGGCTGAAGCCAGTCACGTAGAGGGTGGTGCCACCTCGCGACATGCTGTCTGATGCGGGCTTGGTTGGCAGACAAGAGAAAGAATAAGAAAACGCAGCAATCGACCAGAGTCCAGTCAACCCCAATGCTTTTGCGAGGCTGCGGGAGACAATGCTGATGATGCGTGAGGAGTCTTGATGGCAGAGGAATGGACCTGATCAAGCAATGTGTTGCGGTCAAGTGCTGGAAGAAAGTTTGACAGTGGTTGGCCGGAGCTGTAAGTTCCAGCAGTCGGGGGATCCTCGGGCCCATGCACCTGCCAGGACCGGTTGCCCGATAGGGATTAGCTCTCGATGCTACCTAGTATGACGTTTGCTCATCTATCTGCTGCAACATCTTATTCACTAAATGCTTCGTGATAACCCACACCTGTTATTGTGGATTAGGTAATACGCGAACGCAATGCCGGAAGGTCAAGATAGATGTTTTCCTAGTGCCCTTTCCAAAAGTTTATCTGTTCGCTACAAGTGCTCCTACCAGTACTCGAGATAGACGGCCCTTTTCTCATATTCGGATTTGGATAGAGGCTATCGATCACGGATTCTTTACCTTTCAAAACCACCGACCTAGATATTTAGAACTTATCTGCGGCCAAAGTATCAGATCTATTACACTATTCTCAACCGCTATCAATTATCTAATACCTAGCCAGCAATAGAGAACACTGAATTGGCCGAGGAGTCGCTCTACCCACCTCTAGGATCCAAAGATCTGCCATATTTCCTACCCTCGTCGTGCCATCTGCGGCAGTGCCATATACCATGGCTCCACCGCCTACTGAAGACCAGACAACTGATGATAGTGCATCAATATCGTCAACAACGGCGATGATTAGTACACGGTCGGCTAAATCGTCAAGGCCAGCGTCGTCCTATGATCAGCAGCCGGATAGATTGTCAACAGAAGCAATGCACGACCCGCAGCCAGGTAGGCCGACAATAACTACGTCGCACAGCTCGAATCAGTCACACGGTACTACGGTCCATCATGTCACAGAGAAATGTGGCGTGGACGCCGATGTAATCCGTGAGCAACTGGCTATTGCAATGGCAACAAATCTAGTTCCCTCTAACATGAACACGGCAGAGACCCGAGAGGCCCACGTCGAGGAGTGGGTGAATTATGATGACATAGAACATCCGGATTGGGGCACGATCGAGTGCTAGCAGCAAGTCAAGGAGGGTGAAAACTGGGCGGATGTCGAACGACGCCTTCGTGAGGCAGAGGAGGGGCGGCAAGCTGCCAGAGCAGCGCCCCCGGAAGAGCCCTGGTCATTCCGTCGTGAGTCACAACAGCTACGCCGCCGTATTGCTGCTCTGCCATCCCTTTATACGCTCCTGGATCCCTTGTATAACAGGGTGAACGAGTCAAGCCGAAGAGCACGTGCTCAATGGTGCAGCCTCAGACGAAGACAATGGCGAGCTCATGCTGAAGCAACGTACCCAACGTTTACTGGACAGTTTTGGCAGCTCGTTGAACCGGATAGCAGCCGTGGTCCCGGTAGGGTACGGTGTGTGGGTGGCCGGGTGTCCGAATTTTTTAGGAGGAACTTGAGATTACCAGGTTCCAAGCGTGAAGAGGGCGGCCGCTAAGGGGCTACCTTTCGATCAGGGGGAGCACATTCTTATTATGCTTAATGAGCAAGCGAGCGAGAGCGGGAGCTCCAGCAGCATTTCCAAATTTAACTATAGTAGTGCATAATCGTCGCCATCATTACGGCGCCCAGGTGAAGCAGAATATATAGCATAGCGTAATAGACTTCCATCATATCCCGCATACGGTATCAATTGTTAGGGGAAAATGAATTACATATTTGTTGCAAACGAAATAGAAAACTGTGATTTCAGACACCAAGCGAATTTGGACCAAGTTTGGTCTGGTGGATTGGAAATTAAGATCGGCTTGGTTGTTAGACCATCTTGTTTATCCGGTAAAGCCTGTCATTTGAGAAAGATAAGTGGCTATGTTTCGACTGGCTACTAACACTAAGTTCAATAGCTCGCAGTCATGAACCTATTCACTTTGTCTCTTGCGCCGACGCCGAGTCAAAGCTCATTATGTGACACAACTAGGAATTTCCGAGGATGCCTCCAAGTTTCCTAGACCTAAGGATAGGGTGCGAGCGTTAGCAATTTCTGGATGGCGTAATGGCTATTCCATGAAATGACATTATAGCCGCAGTCAATAAAAGACTTATTTTCGAATTTTGAACAAATCGTGAGGCGCGTGTCTTCATCCGCCTAATACCTCGAACTAGACGCTACCTAGACCAAAACGGAACCCTCCTTCTATATCTCCCATAGATTTTCATTCCGAAAACTAATTCTAGAAAATTCGGTACAAACTATGAAACAAACTTGGCGCCGCTAAGATGCTCGTAGGAGGGATGGCGTTTCTAATAAGCTTCTTTGACCTAAATGTATGAGGCGTATTCTCACACATCTTGATGATCGATCGACTGTTGGTATGTATCGAAGGCTGTCTCATGATGTAGTACAACAGATTTTGATAACTGCTCTTATTTAACCCTTCTCTAGGTTTTTTGCTGCTATCCGAGGATGCATGAAGATGGTGTTTCCTCCCTCCCCCCTTCACCCCGAAGTGCTCTCATGCTCCGCATGGTGCTATTTTTCGTTAGGAGACAATGGCGATGTTGTTCGCTAGCACCATTTGATAGCGGTATAATGCTCAAAATATGTTATAGTCCTCATTATTATACGTGATGTATAATTGCACCGGACTTGGGCTCCGAAGGTCCCACCTCGAGTTTGTTCAACGGATTTTGTAAGTATACATGCATTCTCTGCATCGATTTCCATCAACAACCAGCCAATCAACTTCGCCCGCTTGGCTAAGTGGTATAGCGTGTCACTAGTATATCGTCTATTCATAAAGAATCAGGTCACTAGATGCCATGACAAGATCAGCGGTTCGATTCCGCTAGTGGGCAGATGGCTTTGCTTTAATCCGAATTGGTGTAGTGGCTAACATTTGACGCTCTCATCTGCCGTCTTGCCCCTCTTATCAGAGGTTAAGCAGTAGTACTAGTACCGTCAAGCCCGGGGTTCGATTCCCCGATTCGGAGTTTAAAGACTCAGGCTATATACAACCTTTTGTTTATGTTGTAAATCCTGTTGATTTTTAGATAATGGAACCAATAGCATGTATTAAGTAAGTGAGCATTGGATAAATTTTAAAAGGAGGGTAAAAACTAATGTTATCTTAATCACAAGTTTCCGGTTATAAGCCCGGGAGTTGTTTGACCACTATGTGCTAGCTATACCATGCAGCCGCCCGCAACCATAGTTTGATCCTATCTAGTGCAGACCATTTTACCTCATTATGACCAGAGCCCTCGAGCGGTTGCCGAGAGATATGCCAAAGTTAAGAGGAGTGTCTTGCCAGCCCATTGCGGTACCTTGATTCGAGGTGAGGGGGAGAGTTGGAACTGACAAGAACCATATACCTTCCTTCGTACCACTAGCAGTGGGAAGGTGTAGGTCGTACGGAGTACAAAAGGAAATCTGTAGGAGCCGTAGGGGCCTAGTCCTCCCATCTCTTCTACATATCACTTATCCAATCAATTACCTCTTCTCTAGCAAGCAGGTGTCAGGTGTTTCTAGACTAGTGTGATTTGTTTTTGGTGGGGTGAAGGGGTCTATCTCGCAGTTCATTGTGCATGCTGCTATTCAGCCAATAAATAAGCTTAAGAGTGTAGAGGCGAATAGGAATCTAATGGTTTCCTAAGAGTATAAACCCTGGCAATAGCCGATCTCTCTTGTTCTCACCTTGGAATTAGTGTTTTTCACCCACAATTCGTTTATATACTCTGTATAGGTAGGTGCGTTCGGCCGAATAAACCCTGTGTTAAGGATATCTTGGCGTCAGCATTCAAACTAGTAAGCTCCAGCAACACCCCTGATAGCACAACGACCCATCAATCGGGACATGACGCTTTTACTCAGTGAACATGCCATCGCATCGATGGTTGCAGGCGGTTACCATCTAAGGTTCCTACATACACGAGTACGTAGTTAGTAATTGTCAACGCACCCGTATGTTAGTAAACCCATTGCTTACTGTCAGGAACCATGTACTAGGCAATAGACTTTTGTTGTCGCACGAAGGAGTCTAAACACCTTCGCAACTAATCTTTGGCTGGATACAGAAAGTCTCTTTGTCCTCTGACTACATACGTGCCTCATGACACTTACAGTCCTGGAGTCCTGCAGACTGTGCCGTAGGCCCACATACTGTGAAGTGCTCACCTCAGCATTCTCCTTCTATGAAATACCCCGTGATGCTGATATAGAAACTGTTCAAAACGGGAGGAATAACCTAATTGCTAGGTTGCGGGATTCTGCGTGGCCTTATGATTGAATTAAGTATCGATTAAAATAGGGTTCTAGTGTACCGCCTGCTCCACAGAGGTTAATCGACTAAGCGGAGGCAAGGTCTAATCGCCTACCCTGGGAGATATCTACCGTCCGGGGTTATCGGAACCGGTGGCTTCGGCAGCGGTGAAGGATCTCACCGCAACACTAATACCGGGACCTGGGCTGCAGGTAGCGTAAGGCGGACTTGAGCGTAGTACGCCCTTTGATACGTTTTTCGGCTCCGTGACTTGAAAAGTGGCCTCTTATCCGAGCATTATATGCATTTTAATCGGGTGTATGCAGTTATATACAGAGGCCTAGTAGGTAGGTATTATTCCACTTTTAAGTCACGGAGCCGAAAAACGCATCAAAGGAATACGGTATCCCTTTACCTAGGTAAGGACTGATTCGGCACCACCATCCTTGAATACACCGATCGCTGGGATATAAGCTAATTAAACCACTTATTTTATAACCTTTTAGATGTTTTATGGTTTATTGTTATGTAATTAGGCGGCTTAAAGGTTTGTTACTAGCTCTGCCTAGGGATACTTCTCGTGTCACATCTTTATGGTCACGACTATATAAGCAATTTATATGTGAATTTGACAGCGGTCTGTCTATCGAGTGATCTGTTGGGCCACTACGTGTATTGTAGACCTTCTAGCAGCGCTCGCTCATACCCGCAAGCAGTTCTTGTAGCAGCTCGTACGAATTTGCTTTCGCGATAACTTCATTAATTAATTAGTCGATCAGTTGTAGTGTAGCGTGGCCAATGGCTAGAAGTACCTGTGTCTACAAGGGTACAAAAGCTACACTGAAATAGGTGTAGATTTTCTACCCCTGTAAACACTGGTACCGAGTGGATTCGGGTTTTATCTACTGGGAAACAAACTACGTGGACGAAGATCGCTATTATTCTTAGTGAAGGAACCCATCAAGCTCCCGTTAGCCGGTACTCGCTGTATATACGTTGTACTGTTTTAATTCCACGGGGTGGTGTCATAAAGCAACGAAAGACATAATTTTGGGGGAGCTGAGGACTCGAGGGATGAACCATCTTCTGTGTATGTGTGTCCTACATGATGGACCTGCCCCGTTCTGGCTCCATATCTGCGTTGCACGTCTAGATCGGGCAATTTTACTACCCGCTCTCTTGGTGGCAGTGGAGGATACTTTGTGAGACCCTTGTTTACCAGCGAGATTTGCGTTATTGGGAAGTGCTTTTACTTGCAACCACATCATATTTAACTCATCTCTTTCTACTCCCAAACCATTAGTATTCCACATAACGAAAGTCCCACGATGTGAGTGCCTCAGCCAAAATCTACCAAGTTTGAACGCTGACCAACATTATAAGACTTACTCAGAGCAAATAAATTAGCTTCACCCCTTTTCTCCATAGGAAAATAACCAAGAAATCAGAACAAAATGGCTGTTGAACCCATTGCTGTTATTGGCCTAGATGCCAAGTATCCATGTGACGGCGATACCCCAGAGAAGTTCTACGAATTCCTCCTTGCTGGGAGATCTGCTCGAGGGCCTATACCACCCGGCCGATACAATTCAGCTGCTTTCTGGCATCCGGACAACCACAGAGATGGAGTAGTATGATATATTCTACCTTTGTCATCACTGCCATCAACTAAACAACCACAGATCGGCGGGAAGGAAGGTCATTTCATCAAAGGAAATGTCAGAGCATTCGACGCTCCTTTTTTCTCCATCACGCCTGCTGAGGCCGCAAGTATGGATCCTCAACAACGAATGCTTCTTGAATGTGTCTATACAGCCTTCGAGAGTTCTGGCCTCACCATGGATAAAGTCAAAGGCACTCAAACGGGAGTTGTGAGTATTTTCAAGCAAATACTTTGCCCCTCCGGTATTCTAGCCAATCATGAGAACAACTATTTATATTCTAACTGCTTTATGCGAGAAAATGCCTTCGAACTTAGCTTAGAAGAAAAAATGCTGACATGGAATATGCAAGTACGTGGGAGCTTTTATATGGGATTACCGAGACGTTATGATCAAGGATGTCGATGTCCCAATGCTGTACACAGGATCCGGTACAATCGCCAGTACACTTGCCGGTCGAGTCTCCTGGTTCTACGATTTGCAAGGACCAGCTATGAGCATCGACACCGCTTGTTCGAGCAGTATGGTGGCTTTTCACCAGGCCATTGTTGGCCTAAAGGCAAGAGACTGCGATATGGTATGATCCAACAAGCAACGTTATTATTGGGTTACATGGACTAAGTACCTAAACGTTTAGGCCATCGCCTGTGGAACTAATTTGATACTCTCTCCGGAAATGGGACTCGAGCTAAACGCTCTTGGTGTTCTCAATCGAGATGGAGTTTCATACAGCTTCGATGAGCGGGCCAGCGGTTACGGGAGAAGTGAAGGCATCGGCGCCATTGTTCTTAAGCGATTGTCAGACGCTCTTCGCGATGGAGATAGTGAGTCCCGTTGGTTCCTTAGCTATAAATTTAGGCAACGACTAAAAGATACTGACTTCTTTCGTTATTTCTTGCATAGCCATCCGTGCTGTAAGTAATCCTAAAACTCACTTTCCTTCCTCTTGTAGTCATTTTCCAAACAAAGGCTCTTGCTCAGGCAAAGTCAGCTTTCTACGCTTTCCATCTCCCTATGAGTTTTAACATGGCCATAACTAAACTTGAACGTTTCAAAAGGTTATTAGAAATACAGGCTGTAACCACGACGGACACTCGCCTGGACTGACGGCTCCCGCAAAGGAATCGCAAGCAGAGCTAATGCGCAAAACGTATGCTCAAGCTGGTCTTGACCCATCTGTCACGCGATTCTTCGAAGCCCACGGAACCGGTACGCCTGTAGGCGATCCTATCGAGGCAAGCGCAATCAGTGAAATGTTTACTCGGTATCGGTCTCCGGAGGAGCCTCTTTACATTGGAGCCGTGAAAAGTAACGTTGGACACTCGGAGGGAGCGTCCGGAATTACGTCTGTCATTAAGAGCATCCTCACGCTTGAAAGCGGTATCATCCCGGCAAATGCCTGGTTCGAGAACCGCAACAGCAAGATCCCGAACGAATGGCATTTTAAATTTCCCACTACAGCACTTCCTTGGCCACAAACCGAGAAGGGGCTCCGTCGAGTGTCTATCAATTCGTTCGGTGTCTCAGGAACTAACGCGCATGTGGTAATTGATGACGCTTACCACTTTCTAAAGGAGCATGGGTATACTGCTCCTCATCGGACTGTCGATGTGCCTCAGTTACCAAATACTGCTTGTAAGTTTCAGATTCACTCGTCGCTTGGACCACGCTCGCCGTTATTCTAACCCTATTATTATTTAATAGCGATTTCAAAGCCTTTAATTAATGGCAGTGGCACTACCGCATCTCCCCAACTTATTGTGCTGAGTTCGCACGATCAGGATGGCATCTCTAGGCTCGCTGATGCCTACAGGCAACATTCTATCCACGACCCATTTTATGACCTGGCATTCACCTTGGCAGCTAAAAGGACTCATTTCAACTGGCGCGCAGCAATGGTTACCAACTCGATAGAATCATTACAAGAGGCATTTGCAGAAAAGCTGGAAGCTAGGCGTGCTGCTATTGACCCTGGACTTGCACTGGTTTTCACTGGTCAAGGAGCACAGTGGGCTCGAATGGGGATGGAATTGATTCACTTCCCGGTATTCCGGGAGAGCCTCGAACTTGC